TACTGCATTTGTTCGATTAATATTTGCTTATAAACCACAAATTCCACAGAATCCAACTCTTGGTGTATTTCAATGTTTAAAGTAGGAACGATTTTTTCCCGGGATGCACAAATACCCTGCATTTTCTACTGCCAATACTAAACGCATATGTAAACTTATTATCACTATATACTATTCAAACTGTAATCCACCACAATATGTATGAGATCGAATTTACAGGGAGAATCAAATAACCCCTTAAAGTTACAACAGCTTGGATGGCTTTGGGTTTTGTGGAAAAAAAGGAAAGTGTTACATATGGAAATCAAAAATTATATGTGTACCTGGCGTAGCGCCTCTGGAAACATGCATAATGAGTAGTTGTTCGAAACCTTAAAATCACCAAGAGCAGAAGAGTAGGCTTAGTGTTAACGGACGTGAGTGAAGAGTCTTAGTTTTCTGTGATAAACACACCGGAAATGCGAAAATTCGTCACAATTCATGCAAATGTTTGGCCTCGAAAAGTTAGACCCAAAAGATTTACTGCAAGAAATGTACAGTACAGTAGGTGGGCTAACTGATGAAATCCAAGGAGCCTTACAAGAAAATCTCTGGTACGCAAAAATAGCCCAAGCCGCATTCCCCAAAGTCTTAATGTACACATCTTAATAAAAAGACAACGTATTGTGGTTTATGAAGTAATATTATGTGGAAAAGTAAAAATTGTTTTTTAGAAAAACAAAAATATCAGAAAAAGTGAAAAATCGGGGCTATGAAAGAAACATAATTTTTAAATGTAAAGGTAGTCTGTTCATGCAAAAAAAATAAGTGAATAAAGTAGTACGCGTAGAAGTACGCTTAAAAATAGTGCGTTTGTGACGTTTTCGGAAAAAATATGTTTCCACATTGCGCGCAATATAAAGCATTGCATATTTAAGAGCCAGAACAGCACTGGAACGCAGAGGGCATATGGCACACAAAAATTTCCGGTTGTTTCCTTATTTCTATCCTCCTGCTGATACGCTGATCAATCCAATTAGCAAAATAAACAACCTTAAATGTGTGTTAACTCCCCCACTCAAATTTTGGTCATTATAGTTCATCAGATATACAATCTACTGTACAACAATTAAAGGTTTAATCTAAGTTGCTCTTTTTAGAAACGGTCTGATGACATTTGCTGTCTTGTTTGGCAGCACAGGGTGGGCCTTTTCTGTCAGAGCAAAGTACACTCCTTTAGTTCACACACCTTTTGTTGAAGAATGCGAATTGTCCACATACGCGAATGTCACAAAGTGGCACTTGATAAAACAACTGGTGACCTTTGAAACCACTTATACAGCCATAAGTGGGGGAAGAGTTGTTGTTGAGAGAAGCAGTCGTATATTTTGTCCCAAAGTCTAATACTATCCAAATTTTATGCAGCTTTGTAAAATAAAGAAGAGGAGCAGCGCCCCATATGGAGCACAAATGGCTACACAATAGAAGCGCTCGGTGCATTCAGATAGGGTGATTTTCCTGAGGCTTTGTTTCTTGGTTTATTATACGCTAAGAAAGGATAAGTCTGTCCAACACAGCTTTAAGGAATTTTCACTAAGACATGAAAGCAAGAACTATCAGCCATGCAAGTATCTTTGCGCCAACTTCCAGGAAACAAAGGGCAGGTTTATGGTTAGACTTAAGTTTAGGATCGGGTTTAAGGTTAAGTTTGTGGTTAACGCAAAGGTATACTAGGGTTACATTTAGGGTTATTTTTAACTGTAGAGTTATCGCCAATATTAGGTCTGCAGTCTAGGTTTATAGTAGTGCTAGTGTTAGTGTTAGCACACGAGAAGATTAAGTCATCCTGGAATCATGCATAAGACCGCTTTATTACTTGAACGGTGCATTCATATTTCTGTCAGGTAATCGCTATCGACATCTGCTGTTATTTTATTCTGTGTGTGTTCGAGAAAGCATGAAATAATCTGGTCAGTTGTTACGTAAGGCGCTGTTTATGAACTGTTGTTTTATTCCCACGGCATGTCTGACGCAGATTTGTTTTGATAGTACTCGGCTGGGTAAAAAATTGTATGTTCGACTTGGACCAAAACTGCTTAAAAGGCTGCATAAACAGAAAGACGGAAGGAGATTGAAAATAAAGAGGAACTTGAGCGAAAGGTTTCAGAGCAAAAGTAGCTTATGTACGCCCACTCAAATACCCCTAGTCCCAGCATTTTGTCCTGCAAAAACGGTGGTTATAGAGATTTATGGAGTGGGGAAATGGGAAAGGCAGAGAAGGAAATTTTTAGAAGTAAGTGTAAAGTGAAAAAATGTAGTCGAAGCCTCGCGGCGAAACACTTTCATTCATTCATATATATATACAGATATATATATATACAGATATAAATCAACATTTCTAAATACAGTAAAATAAAAATGCATTTAGCATTTATTAAAG